AGAAAATCACAACACATAACAAATAAGATGATTTCAGAAAAATACATGAAGTTATAAATGAACTGTAAAGCAGCTCCTAGTAAGTATAGGTTCAACAACAGTAAAAAAAAAAATCAGGTACAAGGAAAAGGAAACAACACCAAATAATGGAGAGATGTTACTCAGATAAAACCAAAAGAGCAAAAAGCAATCCACAAGGTCTTGAATTCTAACATAGTAGAGAGTTGTGAGATTATTGAGCTAGTTGAATCCAAAAAGTCATGGCTTTACAGAACAGAGGTTTCAAGAAGAGGTAAGTTTGAGCAATTGAGAGATCATGGCAGCCACTTATTTTCTTGATAAAATCGAACCAGCACCTGCAAATATGACACCACTAGCATCTTTTTAATATTGTTTGCTATTGATACATCAGATACTTCACCATTAGGACAAAGCAGAGTTGAATGTAAAAGATAGCAATGTACTTTCATTGACACATTTGTTAAAAAAATCTCCATTTTTTTAGATAAATGGCCTAAGAAAAATCTATTTTCAGACTATGAAAAGAAATGTAGGGATTAAAACTGAAAATTGGATACATATTATGTTACAAAAAAAGTATATCAGAAGGCAAATATAAATAAACCAATCACAAAGGTAAATTCTCAATTACATAAAACATTATATATTAACTATTAAAAGAGAAATTATAATGATATACTAATATGTTCTATAAGTAATAATGAAAAGGTAGAAAATAAATTTATAAGAGATTATCATAGAATGCTGATATAACTCAATTATTATACACCTTTTGGAATGGAAAGCATTTTCCACTATAAATGCCGACAAATTAATATCTTTGTGACCTCTTTCCATTCACTGAGTCTCTTTTTATTCCACCATCTCATACACTTTATTTATCACTTTCTCATTTTTCTTCCACCATTATTTTCCATACTCAAAATGTGTTTCAAAACCACAGCAGCATGCAAGTCTTATCATATGAAATAAGAAACTTAACATCGTGATTCCATTCCATGCATACCAAATCAGCCATATGGACTCACCACATCCATTTCACATAAGTTCTTCTGATTTTCTCACACATCAACCAGCATGTGATAATAAACTTCTTTAATTGAGATTCTGAAAATATAATACAACTTTTCAAACATGGATTATATGAGACATTGTCCAAATGTTAATAACTAGTATATAATAACTGATTAGGGACCACAAATATATAATGCTCCTCTGTTTTCCAGCCCAAACTTGGAATTTTGATGGCTTATTTAATTATAATTATTATATAAAAAAACATGATAACATAATAAATTAGTTATAATTTTGTAGATAAATTAACACAATGAACAGAGGCAGTACAGAAGCAGCAGGGGTTGAAGGAGTGGAAAAAAGGACAGCTCCAAGAGGGTGCTATTGTTACCCAGCGTCTTTTTTTTTTTTTTTTTTTTTTCAAACGCATTCATTAAACACATGATTGAGCATTAATTTAGTAATTTGGGAAATTTTAAAGTACGTTGCTCAACTCTTAACCTTGAAATAGACACTAATTAAAACTTAGCAACCCCCATCGAGTTTTCTCCATGGTGACGAAGTCTATTCTCCATCTCAGCCGAATCAGGCCAAATGATATTAGGCTGTGGTTTCCTTCTTTATTTAATCTTGGCTAGCTCTTCCCTTACCACTCCAGCCTTCTGCAATATCAAAAATTATATAAATTGCTATGAATACCTTTATTTAGACTAAAAGCATCATGTGATCTATACAAACTAACAAAAACAATGAGAGTTCTGAGATGGTTGAGCCACTCGAATTTAAAAGGCATCACTTTACTGAACAGAGGTTTCAAGAAGATGTAAGATTAAGCAATTGATCAGAGATCATGGAAGCCACTTATCTATTCTTGATAAAATAGAACCAGCAGCTACAAATATATGACAGCACTACACATTTTTTTAATATTGTTTGCTACTGATACATCAGATGCTTCTCTATTAACACTTTCATTGATACAAATGTTAAAAAAATCTCTATTTTTTTTAGATAAAGGCGTAAGAAAAATCTATTCCAGCCCATATAAAGAAATGTAGGGATTAAAACCGAAAAACTGGATACATATTGTATTACAATAGAAGCGTATCAAAAGGTAAATAGAAACAAAGCAGTCACAAAGATAAATTACAATTTACATAAAACATTATATGTTAAATATTAAAAGAGAAATTATAATGATATATTAATATGTTCTGTAAGCAATAATGAAAAAGTAGAAAAGAAATTAAGAGATTATAATAGAATGCTGATATAACTCAATTATTGGACTCCTTTTGGATCGGATACCATTTTCCACTTTACATGCCCACAAATTAATATCCTTGTGACTTCTTAGTTCTTACCATTCATTGAATCTCTCTCTGTCCCAGCATCTCATATCTTATCAGTTCCTCTCTTTCTTCCTCCATTCATCCACTTTGCCTCTCTCTTCTCAACAGTGAAAATGGCCGAAGCTTTAGTCACTATCGCAGCTGATGGGATATTGAAAAAGGTGTTGTCTATTGCTGCCGGAGAACTAGCCATTGCTTGGGGTTACGAAGAAAAGCTGACCAGCCTACACAGAACATTGGACCTGATTCGTGCCAAGTTGCACGATGCGGAGGGAAAAAAGGAAACAGAGGCTGTGATGGTGTGGCTGAAGCAGCTAAAAGTTGTGGTGGGTGAAGCTGATGATGTGTTGGACGAGGTTCATTATGAAATGTTGAGGCGTCAGATAAAGAAACGAGATCAGGTGGCAAGAAAGGTACCATCTCTTCCAAGCTTGAAAAAGCTTTCATTTCGCTGGGAAATGGGTCATAAAATAAAAAACATCAATGAAATGTTGCTTAAGATCAATACAGAAGCAAACAGCTTAGGATTACAAAATGAGCAGTACCCTGTTGGCCCTGTTCCAGATCGCCTCTATCGGGAGACTATTCCACATCCAGAAGAATTCAAAATTGTTGGAAGAGATGATGATGTGCTACATATCATAGATCTTTTAACCAAACCAAGAACTGAAGAAAAACTTACAATTGTTCCCATTGTGGGAATGGGCGGTATTGGGAAGACAGCTTTGGCTAAGTCGGTCTACAATGATAATATAATCGAGCAACATTTTGATGTGAGAGCATGGTTGTGTGTGTCGATTAAGGTTGATATCATCACTCTTCTTGTAAAGATCTATGAATCTGTTGCTGGACAGAAACCTGAGTCAGACTCTAAAGTCAATTTAATTAAAAGTCTTGAAGAGAAGTTGGGATCAAAAAGATATTTTCTGGTCTTGGATGATGTTTGGGTTGAAGAGAGGCCGTATTGGGAAGAGTTTAGGAGATGTATGTTAGGTGTAAACTCACAAAATGGAAGTGGCATTCTTGTCACTACACGGAAGCTTGAAATCGGAACAACTGGAATGAAGGCTGATTCATGTCTTTTAAAAGGTCTTTCTGATGATCATTGTTGGGACATCTTTAGAGAAAGAGTTTTTGTGGCAGGCACATCACCGTCTCCAGAACTGGAGGAGATAGGCCGTGAGATTGTAAAAAAATGTGGTGGTTTACCGTTGCTATTAAATGTAATAGGTGGCATGTTGGCAAATTACAGTGATCCAGAGAAGTGGTTGTCCATCAAAAATAGCAAGGTTTGGGATCTGGAAGAAGAAAGGGATAGAGTTCAAAAGAGTTTGGAATTGAGCTTTGATAATCTCCCAAATTCTATCGTCAAGCAATGCTTTGTGTATTGTTCCATCTTTAAGAAAGATACCGTCATGGAAAGGGAAGAACTGGTCCAACTTTGGATGGCTTTAGGGTTGGTTCAAGCAGATGAGGAAAAGAACAAGGAGATGGAGGATGTGGGGAATGATATTTTTCAAATTTTGGTCAGCAACTCGTTGTTCCAAGATGTTGGAAGGGATAAATATGGTCACCTCACTCATTGTAATATGCATGATCTGGTGCATGATCTTTCATTATCACTTTCAAAACATGAAAACTTATGTCTGGTGGATGCGACTAATGATGATATTGCATGTATCCCTCAAGTTAAACATCTTTCATTATCACTTTCTTTTTACCAAGAACTGAACGAGGATGATGAATTCAAAGCCAAGGTTTCTATGTTCTCTGAACGGGATACAATGGCTAGAAATTTGCATACACTGTTCATCAATGGCAAAGTTGAGAAGAAATTTTCATTTCAACCGTTAACATGCATGCGAATCCTAAAGCTCAATAGATGTGAGATAAAGAAGATAGACGACTCACTTGGAGAGTTGGTGCATCTCAGGTATCTTGATTTGTCAAGTACTAAAATCCATGTTTTGCCACAATCTATTGGTAAATTATACCACTTGCAAACTCTGAAGTTGCAAAGTTGCTATAGTCTCAACAAGTTTCCAGAATCCATGAGAAATTTGATCAGCCTAAGATTTTGTAAATCTGTAAAAAGCATTCCCAACAATATCGTGGGACAATTGACTTCTCTTCGAACGTTAATGCCTAATTCCTTCAGCGTGCTTAGAAATAAGGGACATGGTATTGAAGAGCTGCGCCATTTGAATAACCTTACTGGAAGCCTCTGTATTTCACATCTAGAGAACATCAATAGCAAAGAGGATGCTGTCAAGGCAGATTTATCTAGCAAGAAAAATTTATACGAGATTGAATTCAATTGGACTTGTTATGATGAAGTTGGCAACAGAAATGACAAGGAAGTATTGGGAGGCCTGCAAGCCCCTGGAGCTGTGAAAATATTGACAATTAAAAGATTTTCTGGTGATAATTTTCCAGAATGGGTAATGAAGATGGCAGTCAATATTGATAGGAACGAGACGCCCCTTGACAAGCTGGTGTCAATCAGATTAGATGGATGTAGGAGATGCCTCTCTCTTCCGACGCTTGAGCACCTACCACATCTTCTGGATCTTGAGTTGATTAATATGGACAACTTAACATGCTTAAGGAGTTCAGATGTTACTGGATCAATGATGCCTTTGTCTCCATCTTTGAGATCACTAACACTGGATGGTATGAAAAGACTAGAAAAGTGGATAGATGGAGCAACCAATAGCTCAAAAATGATATCACCTGTCCTTCAGAAGTTGTCCATTGAGAATTGCCAAAAGATTATTCTCTTAGATGAATGCCATCCCCATCCTCTTGTGTCCTTGAAGATCCAGAACTGCTATGGTCTGGAGTATATTAAGAGCATACAAGGACTTACATCTCTTGAATCTTTACGTATCGATAACTGCCCTAGTCTTTTAGGAATAACCAATTTTTCTGGTCACAATTACCCGACATCAGTAACGAAGATGGCAATTGATATTGAACGGAAATGGACGCCCTTTGACAAGATCCTGTCGATCACATTATCTGACTGTTGTAGCTGCCTCTCTCTTCCGACGCTTGAGCACCTTCCACATCTTCAGGATCTTGAGTTGATTAATATGGACAGCTTAACATGCTTAAGGAGTTCCGATATTACTGGATCAACAAAGCCTTTCTCTCCATCATTGAGATCGCTCCGACTAAGAAGTATGAAAAGACTGGAAAAGTGGATAGATGGAGCAACCAACAGCTCAATAATGATATCGCCTGTCCTCCAGAGCATGGATATCGAGAATTGCCCAAAGATTGTTCTCATAGATGAGTGCCATCCTCATCCTCTTGTTTCCTTAAAGATATGGATATGCAGAGGTCTGGAGTACATTAAGAGCATACAAGGCCTCACATCTCTCAAATCTTTAAAAATTGCCATGTGTCCTAGTCTTTTAGGAATAACCAATTTACCCAACGAGTGTCATTCTTTGAAGACTTTGGAAATTACCGACTGCGGCAAACTGACTTCCTTGCCTCATGAAATGTTTGACTCTTTTGCTTTCTTGAAAAGGTTGGAACTTGGTCCGTTCTCGGAGGAGCTCGATTCTTTCCCAAGTCTCCAAGGCATCGAGAAGTTAAGGAACCAGCTTCACTCGTTAGAATTGTACGGATGGGATCATTGTGAGTCAATACCTGAAGAAATACAACACCTCACCTCACTTACTTGGTTACGCATATTTAGATTCGGAATACAAGAACTGCCTATGTGGTTAACCAACATGTCATCTATTCGAGAAATGAGATTCACTGTTTGCAGGGGGCTGGATGAAGAAAAGGTTAAACAGGGAGCACCACGGGAAGCAAATGTTGTCAAATTAGATAATTTGACTGTAAATAGATCAAAATGTTAATTAGTTATTTGAGTGTGTTGGTGTATCATTCGTTCCTTTTCTTGTTCAATTATAAACTCTCCCCAGCCATCCAACTGTATGAGAGATCGCTGTTCAACAATTTAAAGAAACAAGTAGAAATATTGTTGAGTAAAAGTCCAAACTTTTGACTTCTCTCAATTATCACTTAAACCTATACCACTTCTGGTTGCAATTAATCAACCAACTTTGCAAGCTTCATTTCTGCTTAATTTTCTTGTATGATTGTTCTTCATTGGAATTTTCTTGCATGATGGCTCTCATTCATTGCAACTATCCACAGCAGATATGGTTTACAAAAGGTTTGCTAGCTAGTCAGCATAAGCCACCAAAAGATGGAATTTCTATTTCATTCTATTAGGATAGCAGCAGCATTGTCTATCAACATTGTGAAAAATTAATGCTATTTCCTTTTTATGCATGCTGCAACATAACAATAAACCAGCAGAAAGGATAACACCAGCATCAAGCATGATAAATAGCCTGTAACTTAACACCATAAATTGAAACAGAAATCAATATAGATGACCGAACTCAGAAAACTATGACAACAGAAAACTAACTTCGAATATGTATTAAGTAGGTATATAAACCAACTTGACATGTAAAATTTATTTACAAACAAATGTCAACACATTATGGATGAAGACACTCTTTTAATTTGTTTGAACGCAATAAACCATAGTAGCAAGCATTCTTTATTTAAAAAGACAACAGAAATCCGAAACTTTCATGAGTAAGCCAATCCACTCAGATACCCTGGTTTTACGCCTTTATCTGCTAAAAAAATCAACACTTCTAAAATTCAGTATAGTGGAAGAGGCATCTACTCTGCAATATGTTTGGTAATAAATGGATATTAATTGTGCATTTTCTTTGTGGGTTGCTGCAGAATGAAGTTCCAAGCAACTATAGCACATATCCATCCTCACCCTTGATTAGATTCATCACTAGATATGAGAAGTGTAATTTTGGAAAATTAAGGTATCAAAATCAATTCTTTTAAAGAATCAAGATACATACATAAAGCCACCCACGTCAATATACATACTTGTTTAATGGTGGAAATGATCAGATTGTGAGTTAAAATAGGTAAACCTAATGTTAAAATTGACTTCAAATCGACATAACTGAAAGACAAGTCGGTCTCATCTTAGCCGGCCACTTCAAAGTCGCTTCATACCTACAAAGAAGAATCACAATAGCAGCGACTCTAATTTTAGATGTCAAGGCGTTTTGGTCGCTGCCTCACGAAATCGAATCGAAGTCATAAGCATCATATGGTTGATGCACTGGTTAGTTTAAGCGGCTTGCTTGATATTTCAGCTCCGTCTTCAGGCCGCGTGAATGGCTGAGGCGGTCGGTTTGCTGGTTGCTTCCTGAGACCGCGACGAGGCCGCCTTAATCCCCATCGGCTTCACGCGACAAAATAGACCCTGATTTCTCAATTTACCCAAATCAGCCCCTACAATTGTATTTCTCCTTATTCCTTTGCATTGTAAAACACTAGAAATTTGTCCGCATTTTGCAGCTGGTTTTACGTGTTTTTGTTGCATATTAGGGAAGTATAGAAAGGAAATCATATTATCAATACTATGAGGGCGGAGGATAATCATGAAAGTCTAAAAAATGAAAATATGAAATTGATATTTTATAAAGTTAAAGGTGGAGGGAGTGAAAGAAATATTTAAAAAAATAGAGGGATGAAAGATATTATTTTATAAAATAGAGGGGTTACAAGTGACAAGTGATAGATTATACAAAGTTGATGGATGAAAGATGAAGGGGTGTGAAAGTGATATTTAAAAAAAAACCATAGAGAAAAAAATATATATTATTTTTACAAAATAAAGGGTTTGCAAGTGATGGGTGTGACAGTTTATACAAAGTTAAAGGACTAAAGTTACAATTTATGCATTAATATAATTGTACCATGTGCATGAAAGACATGTATTTTTGTGCATTTCTTGGGATATGCATTTGAAACGCTTTTACCAGTTGTATGTTGCTACCGACTAATGGATCATTTGTGGATAGTTGTATTTGCTCCTTGATGTTGGTTTTGGGCATACTCGGGTCGTTACTTGCTCCTTGAACCGACCCGGGTACTCTATTAATAACCAATTTAAAATGTGAGTCATATATATAAGAAAATATTACTTTTTTGTTTGTCTAAGATGAAGGAAATATTATTTTTTTGTTTGTCTAAGGTGAAAGTAAAACTAAAAGAAACATTAAGGTCTAAATCATTTCCGAAGCACTCCAAAAAACAACTCCAAGAACTTTTGTTTTCACTTCAACTATAACATACTATAGCGGGTAGATTCCATTATTTGAATCAAGGCTCACATACATAGATTCTAATGAGAAATCAACCCTTTATGAATCTCTTAATAAAGTATTTGTCGACCTTTTGTACTAAAGACACCTTTAAGGTCTAGATAATAGTCCCCTTTAAAGTCCAATGTAGCATTCTAAAAATCACAACAAATTTAAACTTTTAAAAATAATCCATAGTCATAAAATGTTTACAAAATCATTGTTTCCAAATTTTTTATCAATATCAGAGAATCCCAAAATCATAAAGCCATAACAATGGGAACGACTCTACCCTTTGCAAAACTAAGCAAGGGCTAAAGGCCCTTAATTCCAAAGGGCCCTCAATTTTAAAGCTTATTATGTTATATATATATATATATATATATATATATATATATATATATGTGTGTGTGTGTGTGTGTGTGTGTGTGTGTATTTCTTGGGTTACATAGATAAGTTGAAGCTTGGTTTGGTGGTAAAACCATTGGTTTGTAAAACTAAAAGTCTCAAATTCGAAACTGGTTGCTTACTTGAAGGGCCCCGATTTTTTTATTTGCTTAGGGCCCCCAAATTCCGGTGAGCCACCCCTGCATAACAAAGGATGTGTATGGCCACACCTTCACTTTCCCGCGATCATCAAAAGTACCTAGAAGTACTTGAAACAATAAACTAAAACTGTAAGCCAAAGCTTAAATAAGTTTCCCCCAAAGTACCACCACACAAACATATAACATATACAAACAAATGTGTCGGGTCCAATCAACCATCGGGTTGAAATACTCTAGACCTAATCATCCAGGTCTGGTCATCATTGGGATGGACTACCCCAGGTTGGAATTCCAATATGCAACGGGTCCAGTCATCCTCAGGATGGAATACCGTCGGGCCCAATCAACCATCGGGTTCGAATTCCCCTGTCTATTAGCTCACGCACATGGCAGCAAAGCCTCAACCACAACTCAAAATAGGTGCACATATAACAGATAAACATATATCCAACCAAAAAAACTATCAGATACATCTAACATATCACTACAACATATCAATATAATATCACAGAGCAGGATATCCAATCCAACGAGTTAGCCTTGCTGCCTTCAACCCATCTGTACAGCGAGGAAAACTCACCTCTCAATCTGAACAATAGCTAAGGAGGTCCCGACTCCAAATCTAAGCTCTAACCATCACCAATCCAACCAAATGGCTAATTCTCAAACATAATAAAAATGCTCAAAATACCCTTAAGTTAAACTTGATCAACCTTGGTCAGAGTTAAGGTGAACACCATAGCTGAGTCAACCCAACCGAGCCAACCTAACCGAGTCGACCCAACCGAGTATGCGGGGCGTACTGGGTGCTTGACCAACATACCAGGCGTTGACTGCGTACACACAACGTACCATCTAGTAAACCCAGCGTATGCACCATGTTCATCCTTTTTCCATTTAGACCTTAATACTCCACCTTTTCACATCCAAAATTAGATCCAAGGGTAAAATGTCCTCAAGAGCCATAAAGTTTCCAAAGTTATGGCTTTACATGTCCATAAAGTGCTTAAAACAAAAAAAAATAACTCAACACCTTAATGCATTAAGATCTTCTATAGTTTGCATGGAGTGAAACTGACTCTAAAAACCACATTTTTATGACTCATGACTCCTCCTAGGGTTTGAAGGACGAGTTATTGGGTCAAGAACATGCCATGCTCAAAAATCACCATTTTAGGACCAAAAAGTGTCTTAAAAGAACAAAAACCTAGATCTACAAGATGGAGTAATCAAGATGCACACTTTTTACCTTTTGAAGCTTACAAGAAAGAGATATCAGATCCAAAGTGATTCCCAAAAGGCTAAGCTCTCCACACCACTCTCTTCTTCTTCAAGAACACTTCTAATCACTCAAAAGGCTCTAAAATACTCTCTTTCACTTAGGGTTTGCTTGGGGATCGACTTCACAGAGAAAGACTGAATAAGAATGAGGTGTGAGTCTATAATGGGGTTTAAATATGAGCCAAACCCTAAAAATTAGGGTTTGTATGATCCTTATGCACGCCTTGAGTACGAGCTGTACGCCCAACGTACTAAGGTGCTCCCTAGTACGCTCAGCTTACACATGTATGCACCGCATACTCCCGAGGTCCAAAATTACCAAAATGCCATCATGGGTCCTTATAACGCCCTGTTCCGAATCTCTTTCCTAATTCGGGATCATGGCCTGAAGACCATTTATCATAAGGCTTAGGGCCTTTGGAAAAAGAGAGATCTAGACCCATTTGTGTAACAGCCCAAAATCTCAAGTATTGTTTAATTGCATTTTGGGGTGTTTTAAAGGGGAGACTCGGCGAGTTGGAGCCAGACTCGCCGAGTAGGGTCGCAGTTGTGGTCGCGGGTTCGCGACTGGACTCGACGAGTCTAGGTATGGACTCGGCGAGTCGACACTGTTCAGCGGAAAACCCTAGCCGTTCAGTGTGGGACGTATATAAGGGATCTTATGCCGTCGTTGTTCGCCTTTTGGCCGACTGAGAAGGATCCTAAATCGGTTGTGGGCATCCAGAACAAGGATTGAAGATCATTGGTGATTTGAGGAAGTTATTTTCCAAGAAGGAGAAGGTTTTGGCTAATGGGACAGCAAGGGAATCACGTTTTGAGGCTTGGGGACACTGA